TAAAATTTTTTCTAAGCAGTATATAGGTCTAAAAGGTATGCATTGTTATTAACTTATGTAGAATGCGTACCACCAGATCAGAAATAGAAGGAAAGACATGCACATAGTATGTACACCCTAGAAACAGTGAACATTTAAAACTCAATTCAACACAACAAGCAGAGAGAAACGTTCCAGTAGCAAGACGAAAAAGGCCTAGCCTGGGTACCATCCCCAGTAGTATATTCGCAAACTCTATAACTGGGTCTGGACTTGCACACATATGTAGCGTCTGGAGTCTAAATATTCGTTCAGATTTTGAACGAGCGCGCTGATTGGTCCTACTCGTCTAAGCCCTTTTTTGGGTGTGTACATATTAGGTAAGGGCTGTTCGGATGTCCGAACGGCGACGTTAGCGTCCGTTCGAACGTCCGAACGCCTTATCATCAACATGTCCGACGGCGAACCGAACGCTAAAGCGCACATGGTATAGCCGTAGTCAGTCTTTCCGCAATAAATCATCAACATGGCTGACGCACAAGCCGCTCAGCTCACGGAGGTTGATGTTGACCTCGCAATCACGTCCGTTTTGGACGATTTAGACGGAATATCGTCGCTCAAAAATGAGCAAAAAGATGCATTGAATAATTTCGTTCGTGATGTTTTGGGCGTCCTACCGGTAAAAAAAAGAACGCACCGAGAAAAGGAACACTCGCGCGAAGATCTGTGTTTACAAAACAACAAACATCACTTGAATAATGCAGGTGCGTCATTGGCCGTCGCCTCTGAGGCTCAGCCAATCAAATGAAGCCCCGCTGCTCGGGCCAGCTCATTACGTGACGTCATGATCAATCGTTTTATATGTGTTCAAGTCCAGACCCAGTTATAGAGTTTGCGAATATACTACTGGGGATGGTACCCAGGCTAGCACCAACACCCTCTGGTGAAATTATACTGAACTGCAGTTACTTTGTTCTACAGCCTCGAAAGCCAGCAGGGCCCTTGGACATGTCTGCTACCAATGTCAAGGGCAACGACAACGGGCTGGGAGACCGGTTTCAACAGGATCTTCACAAACTCGCTAAGGTTAGTCAGAAAACTTTTGTTAACTAAGAAACTAGAAGCTGTTTAAGCTTCCATTACTCGCATGTGTGCTTGTAATTAATTGCCTTTGCCAAGGTTATGCTTTTGGTTGTGTATTTTTTGGGTGTGGGTGTTTGTGTACAGCATAACAGAAATTATTGGTGGATCTATATGATATTTAGTATGTGGGTCGGTGTTGGCATATTGAAGGACAAGTTCGATTTTGGGCCCACTGGTGTCTTTCTATGTTTGCTGGGTGAAAAGAAGATTATAGCATATTTATGTAAAACTAAAACTATTACTTTTATGTATTAAATTTTTCATTTGTATCACAGATTTCCATTCCTGAAAGTGATGGGAAAAAGAGACTGACTGTTACTCAAGAAAGGTGTGTATTTACCTTGTCTTTAAATTTTTATGTTACTTATCTGACAGTTTTTGTTGACTAATAATTTGTATAAACATGTTACTTCTTTTAACATTTCTGTTTTTGGTCTCTTTTCTCAGTTTCTTGAAGTCGTTACAGTCCATGACCATATCAGAGGAGAGGGTGGCCAAAGTCACACCCGAGCGTATTTTCTCCGTTGCTGTCCACCCCTCCACAACCAAGATGTTGGTATGTGCCGGAGACAAGTGGGGCAGGCTGGGATTGTGGGATGTGGTGAGTATTATGGGATACTAGATGACCAAATTTGGAATGGCACAGGAAATTAGAAATACTAGTGGTTGTCAAATTTGCATACCACTTAGGCAGTTTTACATCCAATAGTAGAGCCTTTCCAGGCGATGCTCTTTAAAACAAGAAATCTGAAGAAAGTTGCATTTGTAGGAATCCCAAGACGGCGATGACGGTGTCTACTTGTACAACCCGCACTCTCGACCAATCAACTGCCTCCAGTTCTCCCCAGTGCATCATGGGAAGCTGTACATGTGCAGTTACGACGGCACCATGAGATGTGCAGAGTTTGAAAAAGATGTTTTCTCTGAGGTGAGTCAAGGTCTTGTCTTTCAGTGTGTTGTTGATCCATTGTCTTGGGCACGGTATTGGAAGAGCTTATAGAGTTTTTCTTGTTTCATTATTGTCACTTAAAGTAAAGTAGAAAATTGAATGCAGGAAATGAGATAACCTTTCCTTGGACCTTTGGCCTAACTTCCTATCAGTTTCCCTTATGTGTCTTGCATGTGGAAACACCTATGAAAACACAAGGAAACATACAACCAAGTCAAAAACAAAACTTTGTTCCATCGAGGTAGAAAGAGACAAAAAGATTCAATCTTTCATTTTTCCCTTTAACTTTGTCTAGTACATTCTGTAGATGTTGTACTTTTTCATGGTCCTACCAGACGCAAAAATTCCCCTTACTGCTTTGTATCCAGGTGTACAGTACAGAAGAGGGGGCTGACGTGCTGGTGAAGTACTTTGACTTTCTGTCAGAGGATGGGACCACGTGCCTTCTGGGCCTGTCGGATGGAGATGTGGCAATAGTAGACACCAGGACTAAAGGGTATGTATCTACATTACACTATCAATTTACACACAATAGTTGTTTTGCATCAGTTCTGAGATACCTAGGCAACTTGGGGTGTTTGTGTAAATGGTAGCGTGTTTGGCTCAGGACCAAGAGGTCCCGGGTTTGAATCCTACCCATTTCACCGATCTTGTGCCCTTGGGAAAGGCACTTTACACGACTTTCCTCACTTCACTCGGGTGGAAATGAGTACCTAACTTCGGTTAGGGATGTCCCTCTGGTTAAATGGAGGTCCCGTGTTTGGGGAGAGCCACATCCCACACATGTTAAAGAACTCACCGCACTTATCGAAAAGAGTAGGGGTCCTTCCTGGTGTGAGTGGTTCAAACCTTACAGTCTGGTCTTACACAGCTTGTACTTACATGTACAAAACTGGTGTGTTACGCGGTGTATCGGTTATGCAAAACAAACAAACTTGTATGAGTAATGAAAGTATTATAATGAACGAACATTGAGAACAGTGTACTAAAGAGTTGTTTTTCTTTCTTTGATATTTCTGTGAACAGGTGTGAAGCAGAGCACTTGTATCCAGCACATGATCGCACCATCAAGACAGTCAGTGTACACCCCACACAGAGGCACTACTTTGTGTCCTGTTGTAATGACAGGTACGACTACTTTCTGGTAAAGCTGTGAAATGATCTGAAATAAGTTAAGGCCACACCAATTTAATTTGTTGATTCTCAGATTCGCCCTGTCCATTTTTTTTTGATTTACAAAAAAAAAGAAAATATTTTAGGTTCTGAACCAACTGCAAATTGCTCAGAGAAAGGCATATTTTGGCCACAACGGTTGAAGAAATTCCTTTTCTTCAATGTAACAGTGCAACTTCGTTTCATTAAAAGTTCAAAATCTACTGTTTTGATTATAAACCAGCCTGTTATGTTGACTTCTTGGCTCATATTGTAACATTTTCGGCCTTCATGGGGTGCCTTGCCCTGTTGTTTTTTTTTATTTCCCCCTGTTGCTTCATATTTTTTCTGGAAAAATCTGAGAAACAACAAATTAAATCGTATGGCCTAAGCTCAAATGAACTCTTAAGTTGAGCTACTCTTCTTTGGTCATGACAAGGGAGTTAGATGCTATGTACACTTTGTGTAATTTTTCTCTTTCCATATTTTCAATATAATGTTTTTCACAAAAAATTCATTTTGAAAAAAAATCATTTCTTCCAGCAATGTGTACATCTATGACTTGAGGAACATGAAGAAGAAAGGTAGCCAACAATTCGTAGCCTCGCTTTACCAGCACAGTCGGTCGGTGTCTTCAGCATACTTCTCCCCAGCCAGTGGAAGTCGTATCCTCACCACATGTTTCGACGATAGAATTAGGTACGTCATTAAAATAGAACTGTGTGTACTAGTTCAGTACCAGAAAAATTGATTAGGCCATGTTGAGTTGATTATATGGATGACATCCTCTGGGAACCCCAAAACTGATGCGAGCGTGCGAATAAAAAAAGGTTTTGCCTAAAAAAAGTTGCTTTCATGATGAAATCTACATGGTCATGAAGGTTGAACAAATGACAGAGTATGGTATGGCGAATTATCTACTCTTCAAATTCATTTCTTTGCATTTTTGTCTTTGCCCCCTTTTCATATGATTGTGGCATTCTACTACATTGTTATTGTTTTCCAATCTTTTTTTTTTTGCAACTTATGTTATATATTTGCTCATTTTGCAACTGTTTTGTACGATTTACAGTGTGTGTGGGTGGGGGGGGGGGCGGCCGAAAATTCGCCTTTTTTTAATGGAGCACTTCTATTATGACACAACATCTTTTTCCTGTTTCTTTGCGCAGGGTGTTTGAAACATCAGCGATTGGTCAGCAGACAGTCAAACCTCTCCGTGAGGTCCGCCACAACAACCAGACGGGGCGCTGGCTGACTCCGTTCCGCGCCATGTGGGTCCCCGGCAGGGACGACCTGTTTGTGTCCGGCAGCATGAAACAACCCAGACAGGTACGTGGGTAGTGTTGCATACCTAAACCCAATTTTAGGTTCAGGTCCGGATTCAAGTCCAGAGGTTTAGGTTCAGTTCCGGACTTGTAAGTTCGGACCTAAACTCATGGCATATACAAAATTGCATGTTGGCAACCTTGCAATGTTGTCTGGGTGAAACTTTGGCCATGTAACATGGAGGCTGGTACTTGACGATGCCAGATGACAATGTTTTCTTCATTTTGCAGCAAAGATTTTGCAATCTACGGAAGGTTTTAGGTGGTTTGGAAAGAAAAGGGGTATGTGAAATGGTCTTTTATGGTAATAAGTCCGGACTCGGTTCTTGACTTTTAGGTTTTTTTGGACTTGAACCTAAACATTCTTACAAGTCCGGATCCAAGTCCAGTGAACCGGTATGCATCACTATACGTGGGTGCAAAATACTGTGGAACAGTGTTCTAGCCATCCTGAATTTTTTTAAGTTGTCTCAGTTTTGTTTCAGGTGACATCATAGGAAAATTTTGAAATCTTGATCCTCTGAAATTGTATGGTAGACTAAGCTTAATTTAATGACTATCTTTTTCTTAGCATGTACCCTGTTGGGAGTAAGTGAGCAGTATAAAAGAAAACCTAAAACACTGAAAATCTGTCAACACAAAAACCCTACATACTTTCCAGAAGCCCAGAATGTTTCAGGGCTCGAAATTAAAGGTGGTCTAGTGGCCACTGACCACTAAAATTTAGGCTGGGACAACTATAAAGACACTTAGGGACATTTTGGGGACAATAGAAATTATTAATCAACATCAGAATGTGAGCCCTTCTGTTTATCAGGCACACGTACAGGCTATTGGATCCGGAAAATTCCCCCCAAATTTCCTGTCTACACTGCAATTATATGGTGCGCCTGGGAGTTAACATAAGCAAAATAAAGTTGACTTGAAGTTGAAGTCATACCCAACAAAACAGTTCATCCTTACTCCGGGACAATTGAAATTTATGTGTTTGACAGTGCTGGGACAATAGGAAGAAAAGTTAATTTTGGAGGCCTGTCTTTGATTTGTTGTTTGACCTATTCTTTCCTTCCTCCCATTCAGATTGAGCTGTACAGTGACCAGACCTCCCTCCTCCATACCTTCACCAGTCCTGACTACCTCACATCCATCTGTAGTATCAATGCCTTCCACCCAACACAGTGTGTTCTGGCAGGGGCAAACTCCAGTGGAAAGGTCCATGTGTTCTCTGCATCAAGTTTCTCACAATCCTCCAACAAGAAAAGTCCAGGGTCTCCAAGAGTTGTACTCAAGAAAATGGCTCTCTAATACTTGATGTGAATATTATTATTAGCAAGGTTCTAAGCAATTCTCTAAGACTTTAACTGGTCTCACCATCCTCGAACAAGAAAAGTCCAGGGTCTCCAAGAGTTGTACTCAAGAAAATGGCTGTCTAATACTTGGTATTATTAACAAGGTTCTAAGCAATTCTCTAAGACTTAACTGGTCTCACCATCATCGAAGAAGAAAAATCCAGGGTCTCCAAGAGTTGTACTCAAGAAAATGGCTGTCTGATACTTGGTGTTATTATTAACAAGGTTCTAAGCAATTCTCTAAGACTTAACTGGTCTCACCATCCTCGAACAAGAAAAATCCAGGGTCTCCAAGAGTTGTACTCAAGAAAATGGCTGTCTAATACTTGGTGTTATTATTAACAAGGTTCTAAGCAATTCGTCTTGCCATCCTCCAACAAGAAAAGTCCAGGGTCTCCAAGAGTTGTACTCAAGAAAATAATCTGTCTAATATGTGGTATTATTGACAAGGTCTTATAAGCAATTCTCTAAGACTTAACTGGTCATCTTTCTCACCATTAAAAACTGAAGCACTCATGAACAACTAGCTCAGTTTGGAGCAGTAGTATAAGTGTTGGAATATCATACAACAATACAGTTTGTTCTGGTTTGTTCAATTAACTTTCAGCCTGCTAAGGTAGGCCTTTGGCACCAAATTTGTCTTAGTTACAGGGTTAGCTGGTAGCAAGAAGGTTAAACAAATGCTGGTAAAACAAGTACAACAAGGCAATCTTTAAATGGCTCACATATTTGGGGCTGAAAAAGTTTCTGTTGAACTTATAAAATACTTCTCTTGCCATTCCACATATGTCCATATGTTCTTAACTTCAGAATTCCAGTTTCTAATACTAGTATAGCTTGCAACTTGATGCTTTATTCACATATGTTCCAGTTAATAGTTAACATTTAGTTGTTTCTTTGTTTGGTTACAAGTTTTGTTTCTAACAGTTAATGTACTAGTTGTTATTCATTCAGTTTGAAGGGTAAAAGCTTTTTAAAACATAATCTTGATATGTAAAATGATATGTCAAAAAATTTACCTTACTCTCAATTCTCAAATACAAATTTTATTCCATAATTGGTTTCCTAAGATGCATTTTGAAATCTGAAAATATTGGACACCATTGAATTAATCTCTATCAGTAGTTTTAAAATTGTATGATTTAACAATGATATTCTATCTACTTGAAGTTGTTCAGATGTATCTACATCATTGGCCTGTACGCAGTTTAGTTCTTAAAAGCACTATGAAAGTATTTGTCTATCTTGACTAGGAAGAGAATTGGTTGTATTTGTACAGAAAGGCTGGTATCTATGACTTCAGATTTTATCAATACTGATGAATAAACTGATCTTTTTCATAATAAGCTTGCCTCACACTATAACGGATTATTTCAGGTATTGAATATTTTTCAGTAACAGGCAAAACTGTAAGAAAAGATCATGCTACTTTGAGCCTCACAGCCTATTTTACCTTTGTTATCTAATTTGATATAGTAAGAAGTAGTGATATTAATTCTTGGGGACTAATCCTCACAAACGTAAACTCAAGCATTTTCAGGCATTCCCGTGTTTACCGGTATCTAAGCTCCCATAAGACTATAATAAAATGCCCATCTGGAATCATAATCATCACCATCTGGAATATGACGTCAAAAATCTCCAAACAGATGTTGAGGTGGATATTTACGTTTACCGAAGGAAAACATTGTTTTTGCACTGTTTATTCTTCCGTTCCAAACACTCACCTCTGACCTGGTCAATGACCTGAACCAGACTGTCACCATGGTAACTGGTGTTGGGTTACATGATGTTGCAGTTTTACAGCAAGAGGGATTTAGACTCCTGTCAGCATATATATGAATGTGTCTGAGTAAGACTTAACAGAGCAGACCATGTGGGAAGGTAAACATTGTGCATTTGCTTTGCAAATGTTACTTGTCCAGTTGTTAATGTTTCTCGACAAATGCCGTATTTTGTCTGACCCTTACCTTCTCCCTCATGATGTTAACAAAAAGCAGTTTGAAGGTCAATTTAGCACTTCGTAAATAAACAAAGGTTAAAAGAAATCCTCCATGAACCACTTAATGCTTGGAGATTAGTTCTCTGAGCCCTCCATTTGCAAATGACGTTTAAAACGCGGTGTTTTGAATTATAACCATACTTACTGCGCTTGTAGGGCTTGACATAAAGGGTACTGGGAGATTGGGACAGAAAGCTAGATCGCCTATCACAGTATCAGTATCAGGGTCTCCATGTTAATCTCCAAGCAGATCATACGGTGGCAAGTATCCATTGACCAGAGGAGTGTCCATTAGCCCCTCGGTGGCCACAAACTCCTGGCTAATGGATACTGTCTTGCCACCGAAAGGGATCTGCTTGGAGATTAATAACTCAATGTGTACCATTGTAATCTCCAAGCAGATCCCTCTCGGTGACAAAAAGACAGTATCAAATTGGCCAGACAGTATCCATTAGCCAGAGAAGCTGCTTGGAGAGTAGTACCATTGGGTATAATGGGAAGAAGTGATAAACTTTTATTGCCGCGCATCCAATGCACAAACAGTTTTGATGGAATATTTTGCTTTTATTGCAAGTACAATTGTTATTAGGGGAATCATAAAATGGCCACCAAATACTCGGTCAAGTGATGTTCATGGTGTTAATCCACAAGAGACCCTATCGAGAAGAAAGTGCCTGACCTGAAGTACTCATGATTAAAAACATGATACACGTCTGACATTCCCTCCAATGCTGAAACGTACTGCTATCCAAGCAGAAGTTGGTGGGGAAGATCGTTACCTTTGCCACCAACAAAGGGTCACAGAGGGGTTTTCCCTTCCCTGTAGCCATTCCCACGAAAACATCTTTGACCTCTAAGCCGTCCGTTAGTCCGTTAGACATTCAAACTGAGTTGAACCACGGTGGTTGAACGGAAATTGGTGAGTAACGGAAACTCGCCGTGCCGTATCGCCACCCGGAAGTTGTGATTTTGCTTTCCCCGGTCGTAATTCACACCTATGCGCTAAGTGAAGTCGCAAATTCTTGGTAAGTGAAGTTCGATAGGGTTACGATTAGCTGTTAGTGTTAATAGACTTTGAGACTGCGACACGCGGCAGAGGTGACATGGTGGGGTTAACGACAGAAAAAAATGGGTCATATGTAGAAGCATGGAGGTAGAAAAAATAATCAACCTCCATGGTAGAAGGTAACTATCTTTCCCACCAACCTCTGTTTAGAGAGTACTAATAGACACATTAGACGGGCTTTCATGCCAAATTCTCTTTGTATCAGATGGAATTTCACGAAAAGCTGTCTTTACATAGATCTAGAGGTGTTCCTAAAACATGCCTCTAAGGCGCGATTGGGACTTTCAAAAGGAAAGACGGAAGTTGGTCGGTGATGTTGCGTATGCGTAGCCTGTGTCAGCCGATTATAAATTTTGACAAATCAAAGTCATATTCTTCGTGGATACAATCAAAGGAGTGAACTGGGGATAGAATGAGGATAGAGTCCGAGCCAGCAGTTGGCAAGCTTTGATATCAAGGACGACCAAACCCACCTGCCGACCTCTGTTGGGGAGTGGGCGGACACAAAGTCGGGATAAGGCCCTTAAAGTGCGACAGCGCGCGTGAATTTACATTCCGGATTGCATACAAATCATCCACATGGTACGATTTAGTAGAATCAGAGGATTACCAGTTTTAAAGGCTTGTCTACTTTGTACCCTACCGCTTTCCATGTCCTTGCTCCCTCTTCGTGTCAGATAAGGTGAACTAAAAAAATATTATCCGGAGCAAAATGCGGCTGCTTTTGCTTTCAATAAGTGTATGCCTTAGCCTTAACACATTACTTTAACATAATTGCCTGAAACGTTTGACTATGCATACACAATTTGGACTGACTTTCCTTGTACTATACAGGTACACTTTCACTCTGACGATGTCGACGCCCTTGCAAAGTCTTGTTAAGCGCAGTTTTGGTTCAAGGATGGGGTCATATAGTTCAAGGAAGGTCATGCGATATCTACGTGTATGGCAGTGTGCGTGACTTAACGTTGCAGATGAGGCGCACTGCATACAAAATTGTCCACATAGTACTTACTTTAGGCCACAGCAAGTAATTTTTATGGATGACATCAGCGCGCGCATTAATTTTCGCCTGATTTTGAAAAAAAAAAAGAAATTTTGTTGCCTTCTGACAGTGGTGAACATGCCAAAAGTGGGCAAAGATGTCTGCTGCCATGCCGGAAGGTGGATGACAGATAATTATGAAGAGGGAGACAAGAAAAGGCTCTGATTTAATATTTTCTTTCTTACTTTGATGCAGTGATACGTGATGCTGGCTGTATGTATGTGATGTTCCCACTGAATCAAAACCATTTGTACAATGATTGAGTCAAAATTGTAAAATTTAGAAACCTTGTTTTTTTCGGCCCACCTTGTTTTTTCTCGCCCGCTCGCATTAGATTTGGAGTCCGCGGAGGATGTCATCCATAAAATTTACTTACTGTGAACTTAGTAGAATTAGAGGATTGAAAGTCTTGTCTACTTTGTATGACGTCTTTGCTCCCTGTTCGTGTCAGAGAAGGTCAAGTCAAAACATCATGATTATCCGGGGCAAAATGCGTTTGCTTTTGCTTCTAAGTGCGCTATTAAAGTACATACCTTAGCCCCGACTCCATTACTTTAACAGAATTGGCTGAAACTTGACTACTTTGACACTGGCTTTCCTTGAACTGTACACTTTCACTCTGATGATGATGATGATGACTGGTTTATTTGCAACACGTGCTCAGACATACCGTTGCAGCCTTATCTGGCTGAATTAGGGCATGATACAAATCTATATTCTTAAAATTCATCATATGTCTATACCCTTACAGACAAGTTACCATTACTAATTCATCAAAATCAATTCTACAAATATAGGCTAAAAGACAAGTACTGGTTAAAATTCATTAAATAGCTTTACAATATAAAAGAGACTTATTGATTAAAATCCATTCTACTGATACTATACTATACTAGGCTAAGAGGCGAGGTACTAATGATTAAATTCCATTCAATAATTTTACAGTAAAAGGCAGCGACCTCTGACAGGTCGATGTTCTTGCAAAGTAACGTTGAGCACAGTTCTGGTTCAAGAATGTTGTCATATAGTTCAAGGAAGGTCATGCGATCTACGTGTATTACATACTGTACTTCCTGAATAGCTCCCTTCAATCTGTCCCTAGGAAACAACAAAAAGTAACACTCTTAACTTTCATATTTTGAAAACATGCCACTAGCTTCTCTTCCAGTTCTCATGATATCAATACACCGTTAAGCCTGTCTCCAAGTCATTTTACAACAACAGCTTCTTTCCCCGGACTGCAAAATTATGGAACTCTCTTCCAAACAGTTGCTTTCCGTCCGACTACAATCCACAAAGCTTCAAAATAAAGGTCCACCGCCATCTCCTGACATAACTACATTATACTCACTTTAGTACCTCTAGCTCTATGCCTAGAAGTGGCCAAAATAATTGGCCTTGCATTGAGCGACACCGTTAAAAAATCTTTGTGTCGGCATTTTCAGGTGTATTGACCATACAGGTTTCCGCGAAATCATAAAAAGACAACATAGTAATGCTCCAAATCCCACTTACTACATGTATTAAACCCGATTTATTAAATCCGATTTATCAAACCCGACAGGCGTTTTCCACCAGCTCTTAGCCAGCTCTTTATAGTCGCAAGTTAAGTGCTGAGGTTAAGCATGCACTTTAAAATGCACTTAGAAGAAAACGCAGGCGATATGGATAAATGTATTTCTATCTAGGTCATCTGTTTATTCGATGTAAGTATTCTGACTATATAGCTGATCCAACATCTGTACCATTAATGCATTTACAAACGCTGAAGAATATTATTTTACGGTAACTGATACAACTCATGCAAATGAGTATTTTGTTTAAAATGAAAACTTTTGATCCAACAATAAAAGTTCTCTCGCCCTTCACTCAACCGCGACGGGGGCCGACATCGTCTACAAGATACCTTTGACCCAGTGTTGACGTCACACTTCAAAGAAGCCACGTGACAAACCTCACTGGGTCAGTCTACTGAGGAAGACCAAAGTGACTGGTCGAAAGCTCTAGGCGAGAGAACTTTTTTTGTGTTGGATCAAAAATTTTAACTTTAAATATGTAACTACCAACACAGATGAACTTTCATGATACCTTATTTGCATAATCAATGTGAAACATTTATAGTTCGCCATCGGTAAATGTTGAGTGCTCTGCTACCAGATAATAAGCCGGTTCACAATTGGAACTGTGCGAGCACGGGGTCAAAGGTGAGGTCTTTCTGTCGTGTACACTAGCCTGATACCAGTAACCCCCCGCTCGCGACCTTGCAGCCCACATGAGGAGTTACTAGTCACTACACCACAACAACACTGCATTTGTCGTAACTGGCCTTTTTTTTCATTCCAACATATAATCACAAAACGTGGTGACGGCACACTCAATTTTTTTAAACTTATATATTAATGCCGCCACCAACACAGGGGACAATATAATACTCATTTTCACCTGAGCGAAGTGAGGAAAGTCGTGTAAAGTGCCTTTCCCAAGGGCACAAGGTCGGTGGCATGTCAGGACTCGAGCCCGGGACCTGTTGGTTCCGAGTCGAGCACTCTGCCACTACACCACACGACCCCACGGTTTCCGCCTTGTGACGTCATTCATTCTCAACCAGACAAGCTGATCTGAACACGGCGCACGGTGAGGCACAGCGTTTAACGTTAACGCGAGACAACATTCTGCTTTGGAAGAATATTATGTACATATTCATGAAAGGGCGGAGTATGGGCCACTATATAAGGGTTTGTGAATGACCAGTGTGTGGAAAGCATCGGAAGATCGGGAAGGAATATTACCAAGCCGTTCTTACAAGAACACAAGCAGACATCTGTGACAAACATGCCAGGTGAGACCGACGTTCATTACCATGTATACCCGGGTGTCTAGAACAGATTGTCTAGCCATGCTAACAATGGTACAGTGTAGGTTTTATTTTCTTCGTCTAAATTCCGTATCTGTATGGCCGGTATAACCGTCCTTTGGCGTAGCAGACCAGCTTCGCAGGCACGCGGCGCGGCGGCAGCTGGTTATGTTACACTAAACGACCTGTCAAATCCAACCTTTGTACATCTAACTTTAGATGTTGTTTAAAGCTACGGGTACAACGAGTGCCACTCTAATATAGTTCTAGGGACATGTACACATGATTTTTAACACTTCAATCCTGTGAGTTAAGAAGCCTGGGCTGCTATTTGTAGCTAGCTGCCGTGGTGTGCTACTCTCCAAGCAGAGGCTGTGGGGGAATGATCGTTACCTTTTTATATATGGCCGTTTTTTTTTGTCCTGATCCCCACCAACGTCGGTGGCCGCGGAGCTTCTCTGGCTAATGGATACTGCCTGGCCAATTTGATACTGTCTTTTTGCCACCGAGAGGGATCTGCTTGGAGATTAGTGGTGTGCCGTACCTTCAGCGGTTCAGCAGTCAATCGGGCTCACGGTTATAGAGATCCCGATCACGCACGTACGCCACACGATCGTCGTACAATCGGATGCATTCTTGGGATGGTCGTGCATCCCTTCGGCAAAATTCACCTGTTTTGTTGCGGAAAATGTTGTGTAAGATCCTTGCCAGTGGGTAAAAATTGATTCTGTCACAGTCTGCCTGGAAATCATACGGCACTAAAATATACGACCTACGACGAATTTGTGCATGACCGCACCGTTTCCTAAGCCTGTATCATAAACTGTATATCACTTACTGTACAGGAGGCGCACCCTCAAAACTTGAGGTGGGCCATGTATGTATGTATGTATGTATGTGTGTTTGTATGTTTGTGTGTGTGTGTGTGTGTTTGTGTTCAACTGTGTGTGTTCATGTGTGTGTGTTCGTGTGTGTGTTTGCTTCTGTGTCCGTCAGGAGTTTGCATGCAGTAGAGTAGAGTGGAAGAAAGTGAGGGGAAACATTTATCACACCGCAGATTGACAGGAAGGTCCACCCACACAGTTACTGCAAACCACTTCGGAAACCCACTTTGGGCTCGTCACAACGAGTTAGGTTCGCACAGCCTCTCAGTCTGCAATGCTTCTGTACTAGTACGCCAGGAAATCATGCAATTGTGCCTATAGATTCACAGAGTCATAAATACTCATGGTAGATTTGAAATTCATAATTAAACTTCATTATTAACTGTCTGAAAAGCTGCCAGAAGCCGTCACATGTCATTTGTAGGTTTGGATTCTTGTGTTACGTTGTTCATACAGAATAGTCCTTTGTGACCGGTTCTTACATGTGAAAGGTTTCTGTATATAGTACGTCAGGAAATCATGCAGTTGTGTGTGTGTAGATTCAGAAATACTCATGGTAGATTTGAAATTCATAATTGAACTTCATTATTAACTGTCTTAAAAGCTCCTACAAGCCGTCACATGTCATTTGTAGGTTTGGATTTTTGTGTTACGTTGTTCATACAGAATAGCCCCTTGTGACCGGTTCTTACAACGTAGTCTTAATCTAATTGAAATTCATAATTAAACTTCATTATTAACTGTCTGAAAGGCTCCCATAAGCCGTCACATGTCATTTGTAGGTTTGGATTCTTGTGTTACGCCGTTCATACAGAATAGTCCCCTGTGACCCATCCTCACATGTAAAACGTAGTCTTCCTAATCCCATGAACGTGAGGATATTCAAACTTGAACCAGATCGATACGTCAACGTCCATCCTGCCTGTAAAATAAGCTTCTTGAGTTCCCAGAGATGTGAGCTGTGCCCTTTCCTCTAGTTCCTTGCAGACTTTTTTTAGTAGAATTTGACCTAGTGGAGGTGAACAAATTTGTCAGGGATGGTGGGGAATAGAAGGAATCTTTTTGGTTGCTTGAGCTTTTTTTTAGTAGAATTGGAGACTTTTTTTAGTAGAATTGGAGAGTTTTTTAGTAGAATTGGAGCCTTTTTTTTCAGTAGAATTGGAGGTGTACCAATTTGTCAGAGAGGGAGGGGGAATAGAAGGAATCTTTTTGGTTGTTTGAGCTTTTTTTAGTAGAATTGGAGACTTTTTTAAGTAGAATTGGAGACTTTTTAGTAGAATTGGAGACTTTTTAGTAGAATTGGAGGTGTACCAATTTGTCAGGGAAGGAGGGGGAATAGAAGGAATCTTTTTGGTTGTTTGAGCTTTTTTTAGTAGAATTGGAGACTTTTTTTACTATAATTGGAGGTGTACCAATTTTTTCAGGGAGGGTGGGGGAATAGAAGGAATCTTGTTGGTTGTTTGAGCTTTTTTTAGTAGAATTGGAGACTTTTTAGTAGAATTGGAGGTGTACCAATTTGTCAGGGAGGGTGGGGGAATAGAAGGAATCGTGTTTTTTTTTAGCTTTTGATTGTCGGCATGAGGGAAGGAATAAGTGTCAGACAAAATTTAACAAGACTCAGGTTACATGATGGGAGTTCTGACAAATCCACCACCGGTATCTTCGCAGTATTGTTGGGATGAAATTGCACGACTTCATAGGATTAAATAATAAAGAACGCCGACACTAAAATAATCACGGAAACTATATATTTTTCAAAGTGGGTTACTAGTATTTGTAGACCCCCCTCCCCCTTTCCAACGTTGCTTGAAGATCTGAATATTCAAACTGAAGTGGTAACATCTTTCCCTCATGCTGCAAAACAACCAGAGGGCATAAAATCTGCCGGAAAATTGGTCTAGGTAACCGTGCTATAGTGTATATCTAGTTACACTTCCTCTATGTGTAATACACGGGTTTTAAATGTTAAGGTACTCTAGTCCAGATGCAAGTCTTTTAGTTCTCAGGGAATATACTCCTTTGAATACAAGTTGGACAAGACCAGATTACAAGATATGATCCACTCACTCTGTGATGGACTCCTTACCTATTTGACAAGTATGTAAGTTTTTAACTCATTGCCCGAGGTCTAGCCCTTTATATACGTGACCTCAAGGTTTATTTCCCATCCGAGAGGACGTCCCTAACCGAAGCTTGGTACTCATTTTTTACCTGAGTCGAGCGAGGAAAAAGATGCCCACGTCAAGGATACCAACACTAGGATTCGAACCCAGGACGTTAGATTCTAAAAAAAACACCTTTTTGAAGATTCTATATTTTTGCACTTCGTTTTGCAATCGAAATTTTTCTCCAACGCCGGTGCTCAAATGGTCTTACTTCAACGAATAACATGCATTTTTTGTTAAACGAAATGATTACATGCATACGGCGCAGTTCCATTTCCTTGGTGTCCATCATAACGGTAATCTTCTGTCTGTAGTTCTCTGCACTTTCGTGAAGTTCATACGATCTGTCACAGAAGCTGTCCGCTTGCATTTAAATCTACATCTGTCTGTGCTCTATGAATCAGTATCTTCATACATACATACATACATGATCACACCGTATGTGGCAAAAAAAACATACTTCATTTCCTAGCCTGCTCTTCAAGCGAACCGTAGATGGCTAGAGGCTCTTATGGATTTGTATGAGGAATATCTTTCCTTGTTCGAGGCGACGTTTTGAGTTTTCCATCAGCCAAGGTGGCGCCACTCAGACCTTGACCAAGTGATTTTTTTTTGAAGTGACAAGCGCAAAGAAACTCTCAGAAGGTCTCTAGCTACGCCATTGCGAAAGTGACTGGTTGGATAATGCATTATCCGACCATGTTTTTGGCACGTTGTTTCTGTGCGGTGGGTGTTTTACAAGGTAGCATGGTTCTGGATAAAGCACGGTTCGGGATACGCGTAGACTATCCAGAAAATCACCTGAGCGTTGTCCTGGATAAGGCACGGTTTTGGATACAACAATGCTATAGCAGAGTTTGGGAACCCCTATTTCAGTACCAAGGACATCGCCGGCGGACTCACCGCCACTGTGCTCGGGACACAGCTGGCTAGGAGCGGCGGGCGTACGGCATGACATGCCCCGGAAGGCTTGTGTGTGCCTGGGAGAAGCCACAGCGATGCCCCATACAGGAAGGCAAGGGGATGGGTTGAGGTGTGAGGTGTGGGAGGGCAACACACCGCAGCACGCACGGTGGGATGCCTTATTTTCTAGCGGACACGAATTTCAGTTCGCCGGGAGACCGATCCTGATGATCGGAGTCGTTCTATACACACGGGTTCACTGCACTCAAAGTTTATTATACACTTAGAGTTTCACAATACTTGACTGTCAATCACAATTAGCAGTTCGACCAATTAGAGAATGCCAGAGTCATCATTACCATGATGTTGGGCATTAAGGAGAAGAAGAACTACCAGTATTGGCTACAAGGCATCAAGGGATACTTAGTATTTAAATATATTCATTACGCACTATCCATAGGTTGTACAATAAGACCACGGCTCAGACCTGAGGCATCTCTTGGTAAATTACATGGTGAAGTTTAGACCCCGCCGAGCTTTTTATCTTTGACGTTATACAACTAAACCCATTATTATTATATACCGGGTTCTACCTGGTGGGCATAGAATCAGAACCAGGTATATCATCAAAACATCAAATGCAATCAGAAGTCTAGAACCCTGAGTATAGTTCAAGAAAAAAGCTTAAAAACTGAAGTAGGGTCTGCGAAGGACCTCAGACAAATTTTACCTCAACACCATGATTTGCCATGTTTTAGGATTTGATGGATTTTTACTTCAGACGAAACCTGTCCTGTCAGTAATTGAGGTTATTCTTCACAGCACTTTCAAACGTGCTACAAGGTTTATTTTTACGTGGACACTTTTCATCTAGTGACCTTACCGAGGCCATGGAAGTTAATATATAACTAAACCCTGTCTGATTATATACCACGGTCTGCCTGGTCGACATAGAATCAGAACCAGGTATATCATCAAAACATCAAATGCAATCAGAAGTCTAGAACCCCGAACAAACGTCAAGAAAAAAACTTAAAAGCTGACGCAGGGTCTGCAAAGGACCTCAGACAAATTTTACCTCAACACACCATGATTTTCCATGTTCTGATTTGATGAATTTTTACTTCAGACGAAGTCTGTCCTGTCAGTAATTGAGGTTATTCTTCACAGCACTTTCAGACGTGCTACAAGGTTTATTATTATGGACACTTTTCATCTAGTGACCTTGCCGAGGCAATGGAAGTTAATATATAACTAAACCTTGTCTGATTATATACCAGGGTCTGCCTGGCGGGTATAGAATCAGAACCAGGTATATCATCAAAACATCAACTGCAATCAGAAGTCTAGAAACCACGAGTATACTTCAAGAAAAAAACTTAAAAACCGAAGTAGGGTCTGCGAAGGTCCCCAGACAAATTTTACCTCAACACCATGATTAACCATGTTATTCTTATTTGATGGATTTTTACTTCAGACGAAATCTGTCCTGTCAGTAATTGAGGTTATTCTTCACAGCACTTTCAGACGTGCTACAAGGTTTATTACTATGTGGACACTTTTCATAGATCTGGTGACTTTGCCGAGGCCATGGAAGTTAATATATAACTAAACCCTGTCTGATTACTAGTATATACAGGGTCTGCTTGGGCATAGAATCAGAACCTGGTATATCATCAAAACATCAAATGCAATCAGAAGTCTAGAACCCCGAGTATACTTCAAGAAAAAAGCTTAAAAACTGAAGTAGGGTCTGCGAAGGACCCCAGACAAATTTTACCTCAGCACCATGATTTGCCATGTTTTATGATTTGATAGATTGTGACCTTACCGAGGCAATGGAAGTTATTTTCAAGACATAATTTTGTGTCTGGAGAAATATGACTTCAATCTCGCCGGTCCTTCATACTTCCATTACCACACACGCCAAGACCACTAAATTTATTCTCAATACATTTTTCTGTGACCAGAGACTGAATTCAATCTAGTCGGTCCTTCATAGTTCCATTACCACACATGCCGAGGCCACAGAAGTTAATCTCAATACATTTTTCTCAATGTCTGGAGCGTGAATTCAATCTTTGTGGTCGCTGATAGTTCCATTAGAGTTTCTACTGCCTCAATAGTACAGATAGCCTGGATACCAGACCCCGGTGCGACACGATATTCCCTTCGGTAGGGGGAAGCTACAAGCCCGGTCCAAGAGTTGGCTCCCTGGGTCTAATTTATCTCTCGCACTAGCTGGCCCATGCGAGGTCCTAACTGAGTGGAGTCTGTGGTAAAATTTCCCTGAGGACCTGCTAGCCATTTTGCCTAGGAGTTAGCCTGTATACTCGCCCTGGTAACAGTCTGGTACCCAGGCTAGCTCTGGAGCTATAGCTAGCCTGTCAATATTGGCCCTGGCAAAAGTCTGGCACCCAGGCTAGCCATTTTGCCTAGGAGCTAGCCTGTATACTCGCCCTCGCAACAGTCTGGCACCCAGGCTATAGTACAGCTTGTTTGCTATTCCGTGTTTTGATTAGAACCCTAACAAGTGACCAGAGAATTTCAAGAAGGTATGGATGGATTGTCAGGAAACTTAGTAAGTCGGTACGCCTGAAGAGACCTCAAAATTGTGGCTTGTTTTATTGTTGTGAATTTCTCACTGATTGGATGATATTTCCCTTTGTTCCGTACACCAGGTCACCAGTACAGGTACATGTACGCTATCCTGGGCTGTGTACTGCTGCTGGTCTCACCAGGACCGTGTGTGGACAGTATGGAGGTCCGTACGGATGGTGAGAGGGAGTTCAACAACACAAACACGACGACAACAGGCGTACCGCCCATAGAGGTTAGTACATTTGATAGCCTAGGCCGTATCCAGTAGTCGTTACCTACGTATAGGGTAACCTCCAATTCACAAAAATTCTATATACTAAATACAGGCAGGTGTTATGGTTACCTTCCAGGAGGAAAACATTTTCTTTTTGCTCAGTTTCTTCTTCTTAAACAAATAAAGTCAATGATCTGGACCAGCCGTCTGTTACTATAGCAACTGGTGCTGTAACAGACACCTTGTGGTGCAGGGTTACATTTTGAAGCAGGGTAAGAGTTGAAGGGGCTGGTCACCAACATATATATGAATGTGTTTGAGTAACAATAAAGGCCAATAAACAGAGCAATAGTTTGGTAAAGTAGAACACGTAAAGGTACACATCATGCATTTGCGTTGCAAATGTTACCTCTTTAGTATTTATTCTCTGATTCCTCTTCGTATTTTTAGGCTAGATTATTAGTTTTCAAATGCCACCTTAATACCGTCTCATCCCAGGTGACTGCCTACCTGATGCCGACCATCAGTGCAATGGTGTTCCTGGTGGGTCTGACCGGCAACTCGCTGGTGATCTACATCGTGGCGCGGTACAGAGAGATGCACACCGTCACTAACTACTACATCTCCAACCTGGCCGTCACCGACCTGGCGTTCCTCACCTGCTGTCTGCCCTTCAGCGCCGCCAACTACGTCACGTTCGAGTGGAGACTGGGCCTGTTCACCTGCAAGTTTGTCAGCTACATGATGCAGGTGGGTTCACTTCCGGGACGGAAGTACTGTTTTGGGTGGGGCTGGTTTGGGAGGGGGGGTATTGTTCTATTGTTCTATGACTGTTCTCAGAAGCGAATATTTCTGTCCATAGAAGCCCCTATTACTGTGCTTAGAAGGCCATATTACTGCCCTTAGCAAGCCCTATTACTGTCCTTAGAACCCCCCCCCCATTACTGTCCATAGCAAGCCCTATACTATTACTGTCCTTGGAAGCCCCTATTGTTGTCCTTAGCAAACCTTGTTACTGTCCCTAAAAGCCCTTTTACTATCCTCAGACGCACCGTGTCAGAAGCCCCTTGTTACTGTCCGTCTGAGCCCTATTACTGTCCCTAGAAGGCCCTATCACCTTAATAGCAAGCTCTATTACTATCATTAGAAGTCCCTATTACTGTCCTTAGCAAGTCCCATTACTTTGCCCACCGTCAGGTGACGGTCCAGGCGACGTGCCTGACGCTGGCGGTGCTCAGTGTTGACCGGTACTGCGCCATCGTCCACCCGGTCTCCTCCATGGCCTTCAGGACCAAGAAGGTCGCCAAGATCCTCTGCGCATCCGTGTGGGCAGGTATGGGTGGAAGAACGTCATTCCTGTGTCTGAACATTTGTGGTCTGTGTGCTTAATTACTGGTGATTTACAGGTGGTAGATCTGAATACTTTTTGTTGCTGGTTGTCATGTGCTTGCATCACTGCAACCTACATGCTTTTATTAAGTTTACTTTCGCAGAAGGAAAACATATTGTTTTTGCTCTGTTTCTTCTTCTTCTTTTCCAAACAAAAAAGGTCAATGACCTGTACCAGACGTCTGTCACCATGGTAACTAGTGTTGGGATACATCATGTTGCAATTTCATAGCAGGAGAGATCTGGACTCCTGTCACCGTATATATGAATGTGTTTGAGGAAGAATTAACAGAGCAGACAATATACGAAGGTAAACAATATGTATTTGCTTAGCAAGTGTTACGTTACTTTTCTAGTTATCTAACTTTTGATCTCTTTTCAGCGTCCGCCCTTCTGGGTATCCCGGTAGCGATGAACTACGAGCTTGTGGAGAAGGCGTACTACGGGCGGCGGACCTACTGCCAGGAGGTGTGGGTGTCTGAGTCCGGGCAGCGCGGGTACATGCTGTACACCGTCCTGCTGGCGTACGTCCTGCCGCTGGCCTGCTGCGGAGCCTGCGGCGTGCTCATCATCCGCCGCCTGCTGACCCGCATGGCCCGGGCCCCTGCCCAGCAGCCCAACCAGGCCCGGCAGACCCGGCGTACCACCTGCATCATCGTCAGCGTGGTGGTCATTTTCGCCCTCTCCTGGCTCCCTAACCATGCTATCAACCTCTGGCGCGTCTTCAACCTAGATGAAGAGATAACAGACGCTATCAGCGCACTCAAAACTGCAGCTCTCATCCTCTCCTACTCCAACTCTGCTGTCAATCCTTTCGTCTACACCCTGATTGGTGAAAATTACCGCAACTACTTGAAGAAGGCCGTTCGGTGCTCTAGAAAATCTCATCTGGAGTCACGGTCCGTTACCTTCACGTCTAAGAGATGCTCGTACTTGAGCAGTTCTAATAAGAAAAAGGCGACTGTCACCCTCACTAGTGTTCGTTTTGCACAAGGCAGTAAGCCAATGATAACATCTTGTCTGGCGTCAGAACCTGTCCAAGGTTCGTTACATGATGTAGAGTACGGTGGTGATACATGTATGTAATACCTTGTAGTGTGTATTTTGATTTCAAGATTTGATCTATATCATACTAGGCTACGCACATGTACAAAGTATGAAAAAATAAGCCTAATAACGTCACTGTATATATTTCAGCATAAATATGCGATTTTACATTTTTCAGCCCACCTATCTTCTCAGTAACAACAAAAACAACGCTACATGTAAATACGTGCGGTCACTGGTTACAATTAAAGACTTTCACACCACTTTTATGTAGATCTAATGGTACTAGTATTTATTGTATTGTATTATTTATTCCCACATAAATGATAAAAAACCATACAAGGTCAGATACACAAGTAGAGTGTGCTTCATTACTACGTGGTAGGGATAGAGGGAAATGGATAGAGCGATAGGGATAGAGGGATGGGAATAGAGGGATAGGGATAGAGGGATGGGGATAGAGGGATAGGGATAGAGGGATGGGGATAGAGGGAGGGGACAAGGATAGAGGGATGGGGATATGGGGATAGAGATAGAGGGATAAGGATATAGGGATAGGGACAGGCATATATTCTTTTGTGGTAAGGACAGTACTAAATCAGTGGATTTCATGGGCGTCCTTATTATATATAATATATCATATAAGCCTTACATATAACGTTACATTCTTTTGTTAATAATTCTCTGGAATCCTGGAATGGCTTTTTTCTTAGGATAAGACTGCCATTGGGTACAGAATATGAGCAATATGATCAGTCGTAAAGGTTAATGTCATTTGGCGAAGGTATGAGATCGTTGAACTCTAGCGACAACGGATGTGGTGCATGTCTGATATCAGCCGCTAGGTGTCGCTTTGCGCATGCTCTATCCAGCGGTGGCCATCTTGTAAGCCGGGTGAATAGCGTGGGGTTTTGTTCGGAAAATCTCGGCATTTAAACCGCCGAGAGAAACATATTTCTCGTTTTTCTTTCTATATCATGAGGTAAGTATGTCTATAGACGCTGTTGCTTTCGTTTTACTTGTAGAAGTGACTCTAAATTGATTGCAAACGACCATTTTTAGATGAATGATTGTGGCAAAGGGGTGGGAGGGGGGCACATGCTTTGTTTGCTACACTCTGCTACAAGCAAAACTGAAGTGAAGGCTCAGTTTTGTGTACATCAGGGTTTTCTTCATCAGATTAACTGAAAAATGTATGAACGGGTGTCTAGAAAATTTCGTCTGTATAAGTCTTTGCCTACGAGAGAAAATGATCATAATTTTTGGAAAGATCCGGATGTAGCCATAATAAATTTGTAGGATAGGATCTATGAGATCTTTATAATTTTGCACGAGATATGTACATTTATCTGTGTTTTTCCTTTTCATTTTATAAGGATGGGACTCTAGATGGATAATAGAAATTCCTTCAAAAGAATAGAACTGTAAATGCATAATTTTATGCAGTGGTTATATTTCATAGTTTCTGGCTGAAGCAAATTATTTTGTAGCCTGGGTGCCATCCGAATTTGTAACGGCTCCCCCGATTTTTTCGGGGGAGCCGTTACAAATTCGGATGGCACCCAGGCTAATTATTTTGCAGTACAAAATACAAATTATATAAATTTTCTGGTGTTATAATTTTGTAATAAAAGGTCACCATGATTTACTGTAAATGATTCCAAATCAAGTAACATTTGTTTTTTGTTTATTCTCATATACAGTACATGTGTAAAAATTATCAGGGATCTCCCCAGAAATTTAGGACAGAATGGAGGAGGGTGCGAAATATCGGTAAATTTGACCAAAGAACCCTGGAAAAGGGTGTAAAAACACTAGTTTTGAAAATTAACAGGGTGGAGCTGAGATAAGGACTGGGTGGAGGAGCTCCACTGCTCCATTGTTTAGGGAGGTCCCTGAATTATATTATGGATAACGATAACAGAAAAATATTGGAAGCCAGATTTTTTCGTGGGCCTTCTCTTGAACATACAAAATGCAGAACAAGAGAATGTTAGTGTTGTATAGTGTTGTTGTCGACTGTTGATTAGCGTGCTTGTCTCTCATGTTCAGGGATGCCCGCGGTCGTGGCGGCATGAGAGGACGTGGACGCGCGATGCCCTACAAGGGACAACCTCCGTAAGTCACTATAGAGGGTTTGCATGGGGGGTCCCGTTATGATCTACAGAAAAGGGCATGCAGGCCTGGCCCCCATTACAGTCTCTCATGGTCTAACCACACAGTAACCAGTGTTCTACTTCTAGCCAGCGACTATCTTTCTGTCATTTCACAGAATTTTATCGCTCATGATGGACAAAAATTTGGCCCAACCCATCATCTGAGTTTGTTAGACAAAAATCTGCAGGTAAAGATATGGCAAGAGATCTAGATGTCACTAAAGCTAATAGTCTATATAGACAGAAAGAGCCCAAGATAGCTAGTCTACCAACAAAATTTACCTCCAAAATGTAATGAATTAAAATACATTGTACTAAATGTTTCACAGGGTCAAGATTTCTAAATTTTCCTGGTAGTTCAGTCATTCAAATCAAAAGCCACTTCTCTCATCAAACAGCTTACTTTCAAGCACTAATTTTCAGCAAAATTTAACAATGCTGTGTGTTTTTTTTAAAGTAAGCAATGTCATGTGTTTTTTTCTTTCCCCACAGCTTCCGTACCTTCATCCCACATGTGCCCTTTGACCTGGTGCAGTGTGAGGTCGCCTTCCCCAGGGTCAAACCTGCGCCTGATGAGACACACTTCACAGAGGTACACCATTTGTCAGCTTACAGTCTAGTGTCTAGCTTACAGTCAAAATACTACCTGTATTATGCAGTTTAGTTCAGTAAAATTGGAGCTGTGCAGGACAGTATTTCTGATGTCTACCTGCACCTAACCTGCACTGTTATTGCAAAATCTGTGCTGCAAAATGAAGACAAAATTGCCATTGGGCATTGTCAAGTGTCTGCCTCCATGTTATGTGGCCACAGTTTTGCCCAAACAACATTGCAAGGTTGCTAATATGCCATGGGTTTAGGTCCGGACTTACGAGTCTGGAACTGAACCTAAACCTCTGGACTTGAATCCGGACCTGAACCTAAAAGTGGGTTTAGGTACACAGCACTAACTGTATGCTGTCTTTCTGACAGGCGCTGTTAAAGCGTAACCAGGACCTGACACCCACCACGGCTGAGCAGTCAGCTGTTCTCAACCTGGTCACCAAGATCAACAACGTTCTGGACAACCTGATCGTGGCACCGGGGAGCTTCGAGGTAACGGTGTGTCCATCTTCAATTTATTTTGAGTTCTGGTGAGATTTTGGTTTGAAATTTTAGAGTGGTTTTTGGTTGAAGTGGTGACTGGTTTTGCATGGTGACAGAGCATCCGGAGTTCCTATTGGACTGATTTTTACAATGATAAAGAATCCTAAGTTCCTATTGGACTGATTTTCATAGTGATAAAGAATCCTGAGCTCCTATTGGATTGATTTTCATAGTGATAAAGAGTCCTGAGCTCCTTTTGGACTGAGTTTTATAGTGATTAAGAATCCTGAGCTCCTATTGGATTGATTTTCATAGTGATAAAGAATCCTGAGCCCCTATTGGACTGATTTTCATAGTGATAAAGGATCCTGAGCTCCTATTGGACTGATTTTCATAGTGATAAAGGATCCTGAGCTCCTATTGGACTGATTTTCATAGTGATAAAGGATCCTGAGCTGCTATTGGTAGTTGAGGGAATGGTTCTCTTGAGTTCTCTTGAGAGGCTTGTTGTATCCCAGTTGCTATTGTCTAAAGTACATACATGTATGTTGCAGCATATAGAGGAGGTCCGTCAGGTGGGCTCCCACAAGAAGGGGACCATGATGGCAGGACACAACGTCGCAGACATTGTCGTTATCCTGAAGATTCTGCCTACAAGTAAGTACTACTGTAGATAAACATTCAGTGTCAAACTGGGCATATGTGGTGTACTGTGTTCAGTTGTTGTTTGTTAATGTTTTTCACAACTACAGAATACCAACCACTAAGTATCCGATACCAGCCCAGAAAATAACAAGAAACAGTCATGCCTTCAAATATCACTTCAGAGTTATCAACCAAGGTGTTCAAAAAAGCATGTAGAAGAGCTAAAATAATCATAATCCTAGATTGTAATTTGTACAGAGGAAAATGAAGGTCAATTTTGGATGAGATTTAAAAGTTTTCCTTCATTGTTTTGTGTGAGGCTTATTTTTGCACTGGTAAACTCTGTATACCTGTTCTTGTCAAGAATCATTGATGATGTAACATTTGTATCATGTTTTCCAGGAGAGGCTGTGCAGGGACTGGGGAAGAAAGTGGTGGAAGAAGTGCGAAATGCCGACCCAAAAGAGGGTGATTGTATGATATGATTATGAAAATTTTGATGATCAATTTAAAGGATGTTTTTCTTCTTTACATCAAAACATAAGCATTTTAATGACTCACGTAGTCAAAGAATATATTTTGCAAGTTGGAAGCTCCAAAATATCTAGATTTTTTCTATTGTTGACTGATAACAAAAATTTATGTTGTTGTTGCCTTTGAATTGAATTTTTAATGCAGTCCTAAATGTAGAGTGTTGTAACATGATATACATGTACATATTGTCAACTACAAATGCATAGTAATAACAAACAAGTTATGTCTTCAAGTTTCAGAATGCTGCCCCAAATGTGACTTTTATATAATAGTTTGTATTTTTTTCCTACAGTTCTAACAATGTTGCCCAATGAGTCTGGGTTTGAGGTTAGTTCTGCAGAGGCCACAGTTAAAGTCCTGGTGACCACCATCCCACCAAACCTGCGCAAACTGGACCCAGAGATACACCGTACGTATGAAAAGCACCCCCTTCTGATTCATTTCAGAAGTGCAGTATTCTAATAGTATAAAGGCTTGTCTGCAATATTTGCAATTAGCTTCTGGTATGTTCTTTTCATTCTAACAGTTGATATTAGATTTGCAGGGCTAATATCAGTTTTTTAAAACATTTTAAACTGACAATATCTATGTTATGACTGTACATAAATTTTCCCTATATTGTGTTTTCTTGCAGTGGATGCTAAGACTCTACAGATGAACCTAGCTGCCATTCGACATGCCAGGTGGTTTGAGGAAAATGCCTTCCACTCCACGTAAGTTAGAAATTTCTTCCTTGACAAGTGTAGTATGAAAACAATGCCACATTGGTACATGTGTTCATTAACTTAAGTTCAAAATAATTAGGGAAACTTTTTAATTATACATTTTGGATGTGATTGTCTGTGTTTTGACAAATGCAGGCAGGGCTATCGGATTGGTCACAAAATGTACATGGTACTTGCATGTTCCATTGAAGGTAAAAATGTTTCTTTCTTTGCCATCTTCAGCATTAAGGTTCTGATCCGTCTGCTGAAGGATCTCCACAGCCGGTTCTCGGGACTCGAACCCCTGACCCCCTGGATCATCGACCTGTTGGTATGTACCCTCTTTCACCTTTACAAGCTGTGGAAAATGCAGCCTTTAGGGAAACATTTTGTTTTTGTTATGTTTCTTCTTCTTCTCCAAACAAATAAGGTCAATGACCTGAACCAGATGTCTGTCACCATGGGAACTAGTGTTGGGTTACATCATGTTGCAATTTTATAGCAGGAGGGATTTAGACTCCTGTTACCATATCTATGAATGTGTTTGAGCAAGAATTAACAGAGCAGACAATATGGGAAGGTAAACATTATGCATTTTGCTTTGCAAATGTTACCTTTCTAGTTCTAACTTTATTCATCTTCATCATCTCATGTTTAGGCTCACTACGCGATCATGAACAACCCTAACCGCCAGCCGCTCCCGATCAACGTTGCGTTCCGGCGCTGTCTCCAACTGCTGGCCGCCGGGTTCTTCCTGCCGGGGTCGGTCGGAATCACCGACCCCTGCGAGGGGGGAAACGTCAGGGTTCACACCGTCATGACTCTAGAACAACAGGTAGGAACTTCTGTACCAAACTTTAAAAAAAAACATGAAAAGTTATGCTGTGCCAAGTTAACACCTGTCACATATGGATTTAAATGTACACATGGATTTTTTTATTTGCTGCAAGTACACGTATACACATAAAAGAAACAATGGCTATCTATGGTTTTTGAACAGTTTTAAGTATGATCCATACCTCCCAAATTCTGAGTGGTGCAGGTAAAACTTTTCTGGTGCAGGTAATTTTCACTGTTACCCGCAACAATGCAGGTATGCAGAAAGAATTATTTCTAGCCCTGACGGTTAGCACAAGGTAAATGTTGCCTTCCATGTAAAACTGAGTCTTTTCCATCCATGACTGTCTCAGGACCAGGTGTGCTACACAGCCCAGACCCTGCTGCGAGTTCTCAGTCATGGGGGATACAAGAAGATCCTGGGCATGGAAGGAGACTCAAGTGAGTTACTGTAGAGATGTTATTTGTTCTTATTACCTATGGGTACAGTCTGGTATTGTTTAGGTAGTATCTGTTAGTGTGCGGTTGGTTGGTTGGTTGGTTGTGTCAGATTTGAATGCAGTAGAACGTCAGAAAGGTTGTGCTTTTGTACCTTTGCCAAGAAGGTTGTTTTCAGTAATGTTGTGGATGGATTTTTGTGATATTTGGTATGCGGGTAGGTGTTGGCAAAACAAAGGACATATTTGATTGTAGATTTCTAGATGCTTTCTGCAGTAATGCAGTGGAAGTTTTAATATCTTTACATATAGTTTTTCTTTCCTCCCATTTTGTACCTCACCAGGCATAGCTACAGAGATGTCTGTGTGGGAAGGGGTTGTGGTCACGCCGTCAGAGAAGGCATATGAGAAGCCACCAGAGAAACCCGAGGGGGAAGGGGAGGGGGAAGGAGAGGGGGTAGAGGAAGCCATGGAAGCCCAGGATGTATCAGCATGAAGTGTAAGTGACACTTTAATTTGATTGAATTGTTTTGCCAGAATATCATGGAAGTTCATCTGTGTTGGTAGTAATCATAGTACCTTTTTTAACTCTATTCTAACACAAAGAGAACACACGGATCACATTTGTAACTGTAACTTTTGTGAGTTTACATTTGGAAGTCATTAGTCATTGATTATCCCAATGTAGGCGACATTGGTTGTTGAAAATTTGGTCCCTGTATTCTCTTTGCCTTTATGTTTATCTCTTGAGTCTGACCTTTTGACCTCGTCATTCTGCCTGTCAATCTAACCCCCACCCACCCACATGCTGTCAACCTACTAGTACTCTGAATAAAAATACACACAGGAGCCATCCAAAACTGTATCCAGAAGTAACTAACTGATACTCTGTTCTTGTTTTTCAGATATAAGAAGACTGGAGTCATGCCATTCCACTGTCTGGTTACTGGTAGAAGTAGAGATGTATAGTACCTGGTAGTTACTTTTCCCACAAAAAAATCAGTGAGTACTATTGTGTTCAACTTGTTAAAAGTTGGCACAGGTTTTTTACTTGAACAAAGAAGAAAACATTTCGCACTCAAATTTTGTTAAACTTTGAAGCAACTGTCTGTCGTAGTCTTTTTGTATGTTGATGAAAGTAATTGTGGGTGTCAAGGAAAATGGAGCTGGGTTGAAAACTTTTATATAGCTTTTGCTTTAAATCTGTCATTTGTACAGCATTGTATGATGCCTGTTTACGATTCAACCACAAGTACAAACTCAATAGCTGCTGTAAGACCATGTTGGCTAGATGCACATCATTGGGGTTCACTGCCCTTCTCTCATTAAAAATACTGAAATTGTCTGTTGACAATTTTACTTAGCGTAACATACATTTTTGTAGTAGGCAAGAAAACAAAGATCTCATATCTACATGGAATGTTGAGACTTGGTTCATTATTGTGAATTTCTCATACTTCCATACTTTGAAGCTGCGCTGCAGTGCCGTACATACATTTACCTGCTTGGAGGCCCATTATCGAACTTGACCTTCGTGTTTGCTGCCCCTACTTATCCACTTAATATCATGAGCAACCATCCATAACTTCTCGAGTTATGTTGTACACAAAAGCACACGGTCTGCTGCAGCAATGTAGGAACACGGCACATGAACCATTTTCGAAATTGATCCTCGTTTCCACAACAGCTACTCACCGACCATATAGAATTAAGATCCATTCACAGCTTCTCGATTTCTGCTATACACAAACAGCAAATGCATAAAGAGCCTGCTGTAGCATCGTTGGAAAACCCCAGGTGAACCATTTTCAAACTTCACCTTTGTATTCAAAACCACTACTTACCTACCAAATATCATGAAGATCAGTCCACAGCTTCTCGAGTTATGCTGTTATACAGACAGTCATACAGACCCACACCACACCATTGAACATACCCTTCTGATGAAGGCAATGATAAAGAATTATCATATTTCCTACAAATACACATCCATACATTCAAGAAATACACCAGAGCTAAACCTTCCACAACTTTTTAATTCTTGGCACCAGATAACCAACATTGAACTGACAAAGTTTAACATTGCACATAGACATTATGTAGTAACAGTAGCATTTTGTTATACTGGCACTGAAAGTACATACATGTATTACCTTACATCATATCTGTGATTACAGTGAGTGTACTTTTGGCTTCTGCCAAAAGTTAGAATATCTCAAATTGTGAATAATTCCACAGTTAAAGTACCACGCTCGCAAACACCTTTGGCCATTCTTGTGCATGTGGTATTATTCCTTACCTCCAATTGCATGCAAATTCTGTACAATTATTCACAAATTCGTTAAGAAAAAATCACAATCAATTACTAAAATTATAAAATTTAGTAAAATCACTAGTACCTACGCTTTGCTGCAATCATACATGTAGTTGTTACAAATTCTTCTAGTTCGACATTTGATAAATTCAAACTTAAACCGGCCTAGAAATGCACTAAAAAGGCTGGCTTCCTGATACGATTATATTGCATTTATACACAGTGGCACTTTGGAAGTAACAAGGCGGTGCAGGTAGACAACACACAAAGCAAAGACCAAGTCAGGAAAATTTCACAATGTAAAGATACAGTAATCTGTAAGCAGAATGATACAGGCTTTACCCGGTGTCTCTTCAGGTATTTTCTACATCTTTGTAGATTAAGTGGTCAGTTTTTTCATCTTTTTCTGCTTGGGGAAGGTAAAAAAAATAAAACGGACGTTAGAAAATGCCGCATAATCATGCATAAAACACTGAGCCAAACCCTGTATCTGCTTGGAGATGAAAAAGACTAACTGGAACAGGTAAATATTTGTGCTGACCTAAGATTGAAATTTACATATTAGCAGGCTGCAGTATATTGTATAATATTCATATGTTCTGATATAGCATGATGAAGAGTTATGCAGACACAATTAGTTCAGCCAAGCAACCAATCACGGTCAATATTACAAAGTGTCAATAATGCCTTGCCTGCTGATTGGTTATGCTAAATTACCCATCATGCTATACAGTTACTTCCCATCATCCCCTTGGTGACTACAAATGTTTCACAAAATTCAATGTACACGTCATTAAATTAATGTGATTTCTTACCACATATGGAAACCTGTACATTTACATGTTTGACAGAAAAGTTTCATTTTGAATACTGAAAAAATGGATGAAGTATCCAATACATCATTTCTCTTGGATGGTACAAAATTGTTTTTTTTTTTCTTTTTTGAGAATATCTTGAGCATTTATAGCTCCATGGATGTATGGCTTTTGTTTCCTTCAGTAAAACTTACGCGCTACTGTGGCCCACATGTACAAACTCTCAAACCTTTGACCTAATCTCCACACAAATGTAGGGTGTGACTCAAGGAAGGTCTTTTATATTTTTTTCTAGGTCTGCATTTCTTCCTCTTCCCTTAGAATAACGAGAGACAATTTAGCCTGAAAAACATTGTTGCATAAAACACTGATCATGAGTCAGACCCTACATCTTCATGGAGAATAATAATATATAATATGATCATGACCCTCCTTGCAAGCTCTGCAAAGACAAAGTTGGATTGATAGCAAGGTTGGGTGTGAAGACTATAAATTACACATCTGTAATTAATGCTGTATGTTTTATATAGGCAAAGGCTCTCTCCACACTGCCCCCCTCCCCAATTGGATAAAGATCCGACATCGCAATGTACAGCTTTACATAAAACTTTCCATTAGCACCCAGTCATAAAGTGTGCCTTTGCCCGCATCAGCTTGACTTTAAAGCTGACATTTACAGCGGCATTTCGACAGGTTTTACGTCGCACGCTAATTTTCTGGGGCAGTTTTAAGGCCCTCCTCATAAATTCTGTCATTTTGTGGTAATTTTATGACCAGGGTTCAAAGATGCAGTGATTTGTTAAATGTTTGGGTGCGAATGACACTTAATTCATCCTTCCAAAGGACCAAAAAACTAGTATTAAATCCAGTGGACAAGGGGACAGCATAATGTTTAAATACCCTTAATAGTATGTTAAACACCCAAACATCGGGCACAGCATTTCAAAGAAATTGTTGGTGTGTTGTTAAGAAATGTATTTTTCTGCAAAAATTGCACTCCATTTTGATTGTATTCCGGGAAGGGGGGTGTAAGAGATACGCCTTTTATAATTTTAGATTAATCATTTTACAGTTATTATGATATTGTTACTGTATGCTAATCCACATATTGAAAAACTTTTTTCAAAACTTTCTTTTTACAGTCTTATGAATTGTGTATAATGCTAAGTTTTTGTAATAATTGCAGAATATATTTTGCATAAATCCATGCAATCTAATAGTTAAGCTAGCTTCCTTGAGAGGGTGTCAATACCCTGTAGTCATGCTAATGACAACACTATGCTTCAATGGCAAGACATGGCAATGCTCCACTACTGTCTAATTATATCAATAACTTGTAGGTTAGTTAATAGGTTAATACATCTAATCATAACAAGCTCCGTCCTTTGTTAATTCGTCAATGCAAAAACATAAGACTAATAAAAAAGAAATGGCTTTCAAACTTGAACATGACATAGTACAAAATGTTAGTTCAAAACTCTTGTCCAATGGCACAACAACGACTGTTCCTAAAAGAGAAAATCCACGGAAGTTGACGGAACACTATCTTCAACATCTGAAATAAATCTAGTTGGCAGAAACTTGTTTCTTTATCTTGCATTAAAGCAAGAATGGGACCCTTTCTAAGTTGATTAAACAGTGTTTCTTCCTACTACATTTGTATTATTGAAGCACGGTGGCTCACTTTTACTCGTATGGCAGTTTCAATACACACAAAAAAAGCATACTGACTATACAAAGCAACTGAGCACCAATAGTTGCTGCAGTACTTGATAAAACTGCTAGGGGGCACCATATAGCAGCTGGGCCATTTTAGGGGTTGGTAGTGAATGAGATAGGCCCGATGCAATGAAGTGAGCATGTCACCTCTGGAACTCAATGCTGTATGTAGGAAACACATCTTTCAGCAGCAATAGTTGAAACAAGTACACTGCTAGAAAAGCAATTTGTATAGCACATCTGGTCAGCATACAGCTCTGAGCTGTCTATTGGAGCTGCCAAAAGGTTTCAATAAAAAATAAAGAGAAAATCTAGTTCAACTTGCAACAGAAAAAGCTAAGTTGTCCACCCAAACTACCAAAAAGGTTTCACTGAAAAAACAGTAAAAACCTACATGTTCAACTATATAATGTTGAATAGAATAAAATAAAATAGTATTTTGTGTGTTTGTTTGCACAACATAATAATATAAGACTAAATGATAAATACAATGGAGAAAATAAATATTTGGCATCTGTGTAAAACATAACTCTATAAAACATAATGGTAAGATATGGCACCTACTTCTCATTGTTATGATCATAAAAGCAACAGTTTAGCACATGTTGAAATTTGGCAACTGACTTTGGAAAAACAAACATAATGCACTACATTTGAAGGAAATATTTTGGAACCCTAACATATATATAGCTGCACAGTACTTGCAACAAACACTGAATACATTCACATGTAGTATCAAATGTTTTCATAAAAACGTGTTTTAACTTACCATATTGCTGAATATAGTACAACAAGAGTTATTTGAATCTTCGTGCGAATATTGGAAACCGTTTGACATGAAAAAAGGTTTTGTTGTTGTTTTTTTCCCATTCAACATTGTATTTTGGTCCCAAGTGCTTCAAACAACTGTTGTTGTACCATGAAAGCGTATTACACGAGATCTCCCATGAAAATCTGTATGGGGAGGGGGGGTTGAGTGTATTGAAGACTTTATGACCTATTTCTTAAATCAGATATCAAACGTTAAGACCTATTATCTTAAGCATAAACTGATTTTTAAACCGATCTGAACCTTTACTGTCCCCTCCTCACTTTTTTTCTTGAAACAAACTTACAGTTCTGCAAGACCCTAGGCTTTTTTCAATACAACGACTACAACAAAGTTCACTACTCTATATAACCACAATGTGCCTTTCCACAAATTTTCTAGCTCTACAAATCAATTGCACAAGTCATCTTAAGCACAACTTCTTTCTCCTATACATACAGTTACTGTATTAATACAAAATACAAGTCTACACCTACAATACTCAGTTGCACTGTGACAGTACAATTTTTTATAATACTGGGTATCGGTAACTGTTTCCACAAATCTTTGTAATACTGGCTCACAAAACGACTGAACAGTGTTTAAAATTGCATTATTGCTCATACATTTACACTGAACTTGGAATGCACACTCTTTGATACTTGTTTTTGATAATATCCTTTTCTTTCAAACTCTGTAAAGTTTCTTTTAAGGATTCCATTCTTAAAAAGTATGGCATTACATTTGAACCTTGGCTGGCCAATGCTTGTTTGAGTAGTAAACCTTGTACATGTAGTACTATTTGTGGTACACTTGGTGCATACAGTCAGAACTGTACTAGCAACCACCTCTGCTTATAATATTAAAAGGGCCAACTGGCAATTATTTTTTTCATCGACCCAAGAATTAAGAATCCTGTCTATAGTGACCACTGACTTGAATTCAAGTCACTACAAAAAGTTTTGACTTGAGCGGACTGTTTTTGTGGTATATTTGGCACACACCATAGTCAGAAATGTTCCAAAAATTAGATATAATTGTCATGTATATGGCAAACCAATTAAGGTACAATGTACATGCTACTAGCCATACCCACATTTAGCCAGTTATACTTTTGCACACTCACAGGGCTCAAAATACCTGGTATCTGCAATATGTTGCAAATTTTCCAAATGTCTTACTGGCAATAACAAAGCTGTATCCTTGCAAATAATAGGCAGGTATTTCAAGCCCTGACTGGTCAATTCAATGTCAATAATGTGGGGGTAGGCTCATGCAAATGAACTGGGGGGACTGGCTTGACACCTGTATATCATGTCAGAATGATTCCCCCTGAGGTTTTCACTGATAGGTGCAAGCACACTAATTCCGATGGTACCACACCTCAAACTACGTATTGTGAATCTCCAAGCAGATGTTAAGGTCTGGCTCAGTGTTTACAAATATTTTTGAGGTTTTCTAGTGAGACAAATTTTTGTTTCTTCATCTTCCCAAAAGGGACCACAAGAAAGATCTAGAAAACCTAGAAAATTGTAAAACTTTGAGCCACACCCTATATCTGCTTGGAGATTGCGTATTGATACCGCAGTGGCGGAGGACTGCGTGTTATCGCGCTGCTTGGCACTTGTCCGTCTGGAGGCGTAGCGCGCCCTTCTCGTGCAGACTCTTGAAGACTTGGAACTCGATCGGCATGTCGTGACCGCCGTACATAGTCGCGAAGGGCCGCGGATCGTAATAGTGGTACTTAATATTGCGACCATACCTGTAATACATGAAGGGAAACATTTTGAAGTACGCCATTCAACATATTATCCTGTATACATTATACAATGTCATGTAGCCCTAATATCAGAAGATGTTGCTTTTTGCAGTATTTGGGATGTAACTTCAATCTGATTTCGTTGCTTCTCTTTCATAAGCATGTGGTAAAATCTGAGCAAAAGGACACCATATGAAAACAACGGGCATTTAAATCCTGGTACAGTCAAACTTGTCCAGGTGTCTTCTGTAAGCTGGTCATCTGGCCATTCTGACCACTTCTTGGTCTCAATTTTTCCCCATAGACGTAAGCATTAAGGGACTCCCCAAAGCTATCACATGTCCAATGCCACCATTTGCTGTCACCGTTTTTTGTTCTCCGTCCTATCTATCTTATATCCCGAGTGGTCGTTTTTGACTGTACATTTCACTCCCTGATTCGTACTGTGTGTAGCTGAAGATACAGACTGTCCCCTTAGACTCTGTTTTCATGTATTCTAATTCAGCATTACATGTACATTTTTAATTGGTGTGGCTGAAAGGAAAATACAATTTTCAACATTCACAAATATATGGAAGGGAAACATAAACAGATATATTTGCTCACCTGTCGATATCAAAAGGGTACATGCCATAGAGATGCACCTCGTCACATAGACTGGCAGCAAAGGTGTACATCCACATTCCCGAGGAGGGGCGGGCAACCCTGTATTCTGTAGACTTCCAGTACCTGGAAAACAGCAATCTCATTACCCTATACTAATACGTACAGTAATTTTCTTATTACATAATACCAGTTACCTAATAGTCATACCTGTACCTGTACAACTACAAAAGAGGTGCTAGTGTCACAGAAATGAAAAGAAACCTATTATATAGTGGGTATCACTGGAAGACAGAAGAAAAATGTCCAGACTATGCATGATGTACAAAATGACTAATAAACTGGTGGACGTAACAACTACTAAGTACATAATACCAGCCCAGAAGAGAACAAGAAATAGCGATGCCTTCAAATATCAGAGTTATCAACCAAGGATTGGGGTGTTCAAGAATTCATTCTTTCCTAGAACTATCGCAGAGTGGAACTCGCTGTCACCAAGTACAGTAGGGGCATTGTCATTAGATAGCTTTAAAGCACTACTAAGTCACAGTAAGAATATGCTATTAGACTACTATACTAAGACTTCTCAATTACATTTGAATGATGACAATTTTGACAGTGTAGCACTCTTGAAAATCAGAAAACTGTAAAAATACTCGATCAAAATCTCATACTGAAACAACAAGTTACCACTAAGAAGACAGTTGGCTACATGCAGAACTTGATTCAGGCCAAACTTTTATACTTTGAATACCGATTTACTGGTAATATCAAACCAGAACATTGGGTTAGACACTGACGCAGACATGTTTTATAATGTTGAGGACGTCAAAGATGGATTTATAGCCCGAAACAGATTGATTTTGGATGTTCTTTAACATTGACTCTATGGTCTATGCACTACAAATGCCAGACAAGTAAAGGGTCAACCTCACTCCGTCCAACCATCGATCGGAAAAATCCCCCTAAAACCTCAGTGAAAAACCACAATCCAATCCCATTATCTGCTTTAAGCCTTGACAGCTCATATCTTTCTCCTTCTATATAGTTCCTGATTTCTCTGAGGCCTAGAAAAAAATGCTGTGTTTCCTGTTTCAGTCCTGGAAAAATTAGGGTCAGTAGGTAGGATTATCTTTTTTTTTCTTTCTCTTTTTTTCAGACTTCGGTGCTCTCTAGTCTAGATAGTGATCTTTTTCTTTTTTTCTTAGACTTTGGCGATCTCTAGTGATCCAACTTATACCATACAGTTACAAAAATTAGAAGTTACATGAGGACACATATTTTCAATGTCAATGTTGGAAAACTGTTATAGTATAATGTTTCATCAGATCATGTCAGATCATGGAGCTAGAAAAGGTCTATCAGCTTGAAAAATTTATGTCCCTTGCAGGGGTCCACCCAAAAAAAAGTCTAGGGTCGGCAGTTTTTTGTAGAGTTGGTTGGGAAACAGGAAACAAAACATTTTTTTACTAGGCCTGAGCATAGTTGTTCAAGGTCAAAATGTCAAAATACCGAATGAATAGTTCCTTGATTACTTCTTTGTGTGGAGACCTGACTCTTCACTTCATTTCACTTTCGTGTCTTGTGCATCTTCATTAATACCCCGGCTTAAGTACAGGCCGGGGTAAAGACCACGTCTCAGCTCGGCAAGCAGACGTAATCATAAAACGTCTCCAACACTAAAACCTTAATCAGCACTGATTCTGACTGCCACGCACTTCATAGTGCTTCCTAATACTGCAGCTGACACTGGGTATAACTCCTGGCTGTTAATCTACCTTTTTATGTTTCCTGTCGCTCGAAGTCTGCACCTGTTTTCCTGGCTTAGTGACAGGCGAAAAGTCTATTAAGATTGTATTAATGGGAAATATTAATGGAATTTCCGTGAATGTAATTTGAGTGTGACACTTGCTTAGGAGCTACATTCTGGCCATGGTGTTAACTTTTGCTATACTTGCTAGGTGATGGATTTTGTAAGATTCAAGAGTCAAAATCTCAATTATTTTGTGAGGTAGCCCTTCAGTTTTACTACTTAATACATTAGACAACTGGAAGTTCTGCTGAAGTACCAGTACACACCACTAGGGGGCCCAAACTTGAATAATTTTAAAGGTCATCAAGACCAGCACGTCGGCAGAACGTACTGCACCTGCGCGAAACCCGTAATGTATTGTACATGGCATTGCGGCAGAATGTCTCATATAAGGTTGTATTTGCTCATATAAGGTTAGCATTTCGACAGTAGTTTCCAAATGTTGTGTTGAAAAGAATATCCTCTGCAACAGGCAAAATTCTGATGCAACGTTTACCAAAAACCCAACGAAAAACGCGAAAATACGGGGTTTTGCGCAGGCTCAGTATGTTCTGCCGACGTGCTATCAAGACCATTATCCACATATCAAAATTAATATCATAATTACAATTCCATCCACGGCATCTTGAGTTATACTATTTCTGGATAGACACTCACACAGATAGACACACAGCCCTGAAAAGATAACCTTCTTGTTGAAGGTTCTTCAGTAAGCAGAGTTTGCAAAGTTGGTGTACTGCCAACTTCTAAGGTCCATAAAGGTCCAGACATGCCTTAATCTTCAGCCTAATCCAAGCTGACAGCAATTTCCTCTAGACGGATGTCTATGTCTCTCCCAAACATTTTATTCTGATAAGATAGATACTTGATTATTTCTACCAGCAAAGGCGTGGGAATAGGTCAGTTTTTGAGTCAGAATTTCATGCTGTTGTCAACGTTATAGTATGATTATGAAACTAAACTTGAAGCTGTGTAACAATACACCATATTTTAGAGAAGAAATGGCTATATGCTTGAGGTAAAAAGATTGGAAATCAGCACATTTTGGTCAGGGAAAGGGAGTAAAAAGCTGCAGGTTATCACCCAAGCATGCTATTAGGTGCAAGTGTGTGTGATTTGTAAGTGAAGGTAGCCAAGTGTGAAATGGAATTTTCCTACCTTCTTATCCACTTCTCCATGTCTGGACTTGGGTACGCCGTGCGTACGCTGATATTGTGTTTTACGATTATGTCGTTCGTCCACTGCACGTGGTATTTTTCCGACTTTGCAACAAAAGCAGGTATAAACAAGATCCCCCGTCCCAAACGGCGCAGTCTCTGGATAAAGCGCTCCTTCAGCTTTGGCTCCGCAAACTCTTTGTAATACGTGTACAACACGGACGGATTCATTGTCGTGAAGTTTGACTTGGCGCCGACGTCTCTCTCGTGGCCTTCGAGCTCGGGGAGATTGCAGCGGAACACATAGTCATGAGTGTCGATTTCGCGGCCGCAGCCAGAGTTGGAGAGGATTCCTGAGTTCCCCACAACCGCACACTTGCGGAAGTGTTTGTTCTCCAGCGGGGGTCTGGACGGCAGCATGTTGTGGAAGGTTTGGGAGACCGTCACGGACGGCTGCCAGAAGAAGTGGCTCTTTAGGAACCAGATGCGATCACCAGGCTTGACCTGAGACTGCAGCAGGGACATGTTCCCCGTGGGGTCGAAGAACTGCTTCACTTTTTCCCTGCAAATTCAACATATCCAAGTTAGAATTTCAAGGACTCCAGATAGTAATATTCTGTGTTCTAGCCAGCCTGAATTTTTTTTCGTTATCTCAATTTTGTTTGACGTAACATCATGTTCACAGCCAAAGCATGACAATCTTCATGCTTCCCCAGGTAAATTTTGAAATCTTGACCATCTGAAATGCTATTTTCTGCATTTGAAAGACAAATTTTATTGGTAGACTTAGCTTAGATTTATTTAATGATATATCTTTATACAACGATTTTTGTCCATCAAAAATGACGGATTGGGCAACATTTTTTCCGTCATGAGCGGCAAAATTCCGACAAATGATGGAATGACGAACGCTGGGTTGAAAACTAGTATCATCCATGAAATCAAGTTGATGCCGCCCTGTATAAGACAGATCTGTTCCACTGCCGGGCACATAGATTTGGAGCCAGTAACTGGAAGGCTGCCAATGTGTTGTGATATTGCCATGGATCTAACTGTCAGGCTGAATGAAATCCCAGTCATAATGACAGTTATTCTAGCCGATCTTCGCACTAATCATGACAGATTCACAGGGAAAGGCATCAGCTTTTAGCAATAAGGGCACGGTACATCAGACTACTGAATACGGTCTTTACTAACTGAGTCGTACATTTCAGACACGATACCCTGTCTGCCATCCATCAGTGAGCTGTAAATGGCTCACTGAAAGACAAGTCGGAGCTCCAAATTCATTTCTGGTGCTCAACATAAGATATGGTACAATGTCAGCAAAATTCAAGGCTAGATTCATATTTTTGGGTCAAAATTGGTGCATTGGTGTAAATGAAAAAAAATTTACTTGCACCAAAAAAAAATTACATGCACAACAAGTGGTTTAGATAACCTACTTGCAATTACAATTTTTTTCTACCTTTCCATAATTATAGTAGTTGGAAAAGCTACTTGCACAAGAGCAAGTACAAGTAAAAGTTACAATTGTACTCTTTCAATTTTACTTGCACATGCATGTGCATTCAAGAGGTAACTGCAACCCTGAAAATGTATAGAGTTTGCCATGGAAACTTGTCCCTTACTGGATGTCTTTGATGACAGTCTCGTTTCTTGTCCAGTTCCTGGTGTCAGTCAGAGCACTACAGTTCTTCTTCACTGCTCCGCTCTGTAATCTGCAATAAAGAATTACAGTTTATTTTAGGTTTGTGGAGAGTGTTCAGTACCAGGAACAGGTATGTTCATCTGTGTGTTAATGGTGTTCAGCACCAAGGACAGGCATGCTCACCTGTGTTTGGATGGTGTTCAGCACCAAGGACAGGCATGTTCCACCTGTGTGTTGATGGTGTTCAGCACCTAGGACAGGCATGTTCACCTGTGTATGGATAGTGTTCAAAACCAAGGAAAGGCATGTTCACCTAAGTGTGGAAAGTGTTCAGCACCAAGGACAGGCATGTTCACCTGTGTGTGGATAGTGTTCAGCACCAAGGACAGGCATGCCCACCTGTGTGTGGATGGTGTTTAGCACCAAGGACAGGCATGTTCACCTGTGTGTGGATGGTGTTCAGCACCAAGGACAGGCATGTTCACCTGTGTATGGATAGTGTTCAGCACCAAGGACAGGCATGTTCACCTGTGTGTGGATAGTGTTCAGCACCAAGGACAGGCATGTTCACCTGTGTGTGGATAGTGTTCAGCACTAGATGGAAAAATTAGGGGGCAAAATATGACCATTTTTAGTTGATTCAGAACCAGAATCTTTTTTTTTTTTGCAAATCAGGAACAAATAAAAAGGCAAATCCGAGAACCAACAAATTAAATTGGTGTGGCCTAACCAAAGATTGTTGAAAATTCCTGGTATATTTTGAGTATCAAAAAGGGCCTCAACAGCAGGACACTTCAGAAGGGTGACCTTTTGTCAATAAGCTGATTGTGATCTGTTGTGAGGTCTGGGATCCTGAGAGACACAACAGCTGCCATAGCAATGCTAAACAGTTTGTGCTGTTACCATGGCAACCCTTTGTCATGTTTCCATGGCAACCCTTTGTCATGTTTCCATGGCAACCCTTTGTCATGTTTCTATGGCAACCCTTTGCCATGGCTACTGTTTTCCCAACCAACAATGAAGTCAATTAGCAACTAAGCAACCCTTAAAGGCATACAGTGCAGTTTTTAGGGCTTAGAAACCAGATTTTTCTGTCATATTCTAGTCACTTATCTACATACAAGTTGAAACAACACTGTCCCAATATCTATTGGAATTCATGGAGGAAAAATGCACCAAATTCTGACGAGAAATAGTTACTGGATGAACTTGGATTGGATTTTAGGGTACCACCTAGAAAATAAAGGACTAATCTTGGTTCTTGTTTCTGCAGCCTAAGGCATGAAATACTGATTCAAATGTGTTAATGTGGGACAGTATTTGTCAATACAAATACAGATTGCCTTATTCGTTATTCAGAATGTTTCCAGTTTTGCCGCCCTGAAATTGCATTGGATGCCTTTAAATCAGCTTGTTGTCTCAAAAAAAAATCCAGTTGATAAATTTCAATGTCAGAATCTGGTATTCAAACTTTCAAAAGTGGCACACGGGAAACATGTTTGAATTATTCTATGCAAATTTTGGATGGCTTTGTAATATGGGTATTTGTCACACGGGCCTGAACACCTGTATTGAACGTTATCGCAGCCCAGCTTTGACATAAATATATATTCTGTCTAGCTGTCTAGAAGACCAATAACTACATGTGCCGGTATGCATGGAAAAAATGGCAATGGCGTGACCAGGCAAGCATGCATCGGTGTGCACTGGTCTGATAGGTGCTTCCACTGGCCTGGAGGCCATCGGGCCATTGAACTTGCAACTTATCGATTTGTAATCTCAAGTCGCCTACAGAGTACAAAAATGGTAGGATGCATGGTCAAAAGTCTTCAAAATGGACTGTCACCACTCTCAACACATGATTTGCCTCTCAAAATGTGGAAAATTGCATTTTTAAAGCCTTGATTTGTAATCTCAAGTTGCCTACAGAGTACAAAAATGGTAGGATTATATCCGATATATGGTCAAAAATCTCCAAAATGGACTGTCACCACTCTCAACCCATGATTTGGCTCTCAAAATGTGGGAAATTGCATTTTTAAAGCCTTGAAAATCCAAAAAATTGTCCCCCTTAAATTGTGCACTTTCCCCAGGTCCGATTATGAATCTGGGCTGACGGAAAAAGATTTCGAGCTGGCTAGAACCCTGTTTGTATTACTTACTTGAAATTTAGTTCAATATATAATATGGTATCTATTACATTTTATATGAAGTAGAAAAGAAAAAATGGCAATATCAATGGTTTTTGGTCAGTTTTCATAGTTTCTTAATTTCGAGTTTTGCAGTTAAAATTTGCTTGGTGCAGGTATTTTTTAAAATTTACCTACTAGAAGAATTTCAAGCCCTGAATACAAATGGGCCACGTGAGAGTGCAGCTACCACACTTTTGGCATAAGTGCCTAGAAAGCCATTTTGTGTCATGCAAATGCCATGCACATGCAGACAGGCACTTTAGCAAATGGTAGCAGAAATGTGTTATGACACACAATCGCTTGTGAGGCAGTTTTGCGAAAGGCCAGCGTTAAATGTGCTGTGAAAACACCTGCAAGGCATTCTGTTTTCATCTGAGCCACTTTGTGATATTGATGGACCAGCATTTGCCAGCAAATGTGGGATATCTCCCACTCCCTCCTCCGTTTGTTTCTTTGCTTCTTGGACATTTCTGTATGGCTGAACAAAAACTCTGCACTGAGTTACACAGAGCATCTGGTTTACCAATGAGTTCTTTAGTTTTGTTCTTCACAATCATGCTCTTTTTGAATTTTGGAAGACTTGGTGGTGCAAGAAAGTGGTAAATTGTGCCCTGCCTTCTTTCTTTATGCATCTTCTTGTTTTCCTTTCAACCACTGTCATTATTCGAGTCCCTATAGAAATGGTGTTGTCGAAACCTTTTTTGCTTTGGGAATAGACAAAAAATTGATGTGTGCACAGATGACATGCGGCTTAAGTGGCAAAAGAATCAGCTAGACTCTCAACTCTAAGTCAGGGTTCAACATGGCATCCCTCAGCAATGACAAACTAATAAGTTTTCTCAGGTAAAAGCTCTCAGGGCCTGAGAAAACAAAACAAACCACTGACTGATCGTGAGATTGCCATCAAACCCGTCCATCTGTGCCCTGAGTGATGCAAAACCAGGTTAAGGGAACCGTCAAAAAGATCTCCATTTAGATTCTCTTCACCAATGTACTAAAGGCTTTTCCTGTGCTGACCTATTGGCCTCCTTTTAACATTTAGCTGGGAACACAGCTCTTCTGAATGTGTAAATGTTTGCAAATCTATATAAACCTCTCCCACGCTCTGTTTACTACAATGATAAGGCCAATTGAAGGTGGAAGATATCCATGCCTGGGGACTTTTGGGATATGTTGGTTCTGGGATTTAAAACTGAATTTAAAAGATCAATGTGAAGATAGAGTTTAAGGAGAATGCCTTGGGAGGTAGGAGGGTCAGGGTCACCAAGATTGAGTACTGTGTGAGGCCGAGGAAAAAAAAAAGTTGTGTTTCATGTTAGAGTCCTGAAAAAACTTGGGTCAGTAGGTAGGGATTTTCTTTTTTTTCTTAAAAATTCTCTTTTTTTTTTAGATTTTGGTGATCTGTAGTGATCCAACTTATTGAAACAATACAATTTAACAAAGACGAAAGCGAAACTTGCATGGGGACAGCTTTCAATTTTCAACATATTCAATCACTCAGGTGTCAGATCCTGAAGCTAGAAAAAGTCGATCAGCTCAAAAAATTTATGTCCCTTGCAAGGTGTACACACAAAAAAGGGCTAGGGTCGGCAGTTTTTCTAGGGTCAGTCGGGAAACACAATTTTTTCTAGGCCTAACCATGGTACTGGAAATAAGCCAGAGTGTTGACTGGAATTATAAACACAGTAATACAATCATACCAGTAAAAATGAAATATCAATTCTTATGATTCAATTCAACAGGGTATTTCATAATGATCACATAACCTTTAGTGCTAGAATATGATGAATACCAGGCCAACACTCTAAGCCATATGTCTGAGAATATTGAAGCCCCTGATTAATAATGTGTCAACGCCATTTACTCCACGGAGCTGCGACACTTCAGGCTGTTTAATGAGACTCTGTTCTGTTTTGGATTGCATCTTTTAAAGGCATCTGATGCAATTTCAGGGCAGTAAAACTGGAAACATTTCAAATAAGGCAATCTTTGTGATGTTGACACATACTGCTTCACATTAGCACATTTAAATCAGCATTTCATACTTTGGGCATTTAAAACTGCAGAAACAAGCCCCAAGATGAGTCCTTTATTTTCTGGGTGGTACCCTAAAAATCAGCCCGGGGCCCTTCCAGTAACCATTTTCCGTCAGAATTTTGGGAATTTTTGCTCCACGAAGGTCAATGTACTTTGAGACAGTGTGGTTTCAACTCATTATGTAGATAAATGACTAGAATATTGGCTTTGAAAAATCAGGTTCCCAAGCCCTAAAAACTGCACTGGATGCTTTTAAGACCACTACATATTAGGATTTGACAGAACTGTTTAATGTAAGGTTGGAGTAAGTATATGCTGCAATGCATTGTGCATTGACATTTTACTGTTGTGAAATTCTAATGTTGTTGCAATGCAGGACTTGAAATACACACAGTTCTTTCTGATCTAAGGCCACACCAATTTAATTTCTTGGTTAACGGATTTTTCTAGAAAAATAATGGAGCGGGCGGGCGAAAAAATAAAAAATAAAAACAGGCCTAGGCATTGTATTATGGCCCAAAATGGTCCGATAGGAGCCATGAAGTCAACACACCAGGCTGCTTCAAAATTTAAACAATGAATTTTGAACTTTTAATGATACCATTGCATTGAAAGGTGGAATAACTGTAACGACTAGGATGAAAAGGTCTGTTTTCAACTGTTCAGGGCAAAATATGAGCATTTTGCAGTTGGTTCTGGATTTTTATTTTTATTTGCAAATCAGAAAAAAATGAAGCGGCGAATCCGTTAACCTAGAAATTAAATTGGTGTGGTCTAATACTTATATAAAAATTCCAATGGCAGTAATACTCCTTAGCCAATGTATCTTTTGAAATGTTTTACATGTAATTATGATCCATACATGTATAATATGTACATACAGTATATAAAATGCAATTTTCTACCACTGCTAAATGTGTTATCAAGGACAAAAATCATATTTACCTGCTCCCTATAGACTTAATTTCCAAATCACAAAGGAATAGAAGGTTCTACCTCTCAGTCTTTTGGTAAAATCTGATTACAGTTTCTAATAAAACCCCCTAGAAGGCACATATATTGGAATTTGGCCATGACGTGATTTTGTTTGCAACGATTCCAATAGGAAGATAAATTCCCCCTCTGAGGTGATTGTATGATGTTTCATTTTTATTATGACAGGTTTTCTATCTGTTTTTGATGCAGCCAAAGTATGGAATGTCATGTAAGGGAAAGGCCAAAGTTGTAATCATGTTGTCCCTGGTGCAGATTTCTGTACACAAAATCATATCTGTCTCCGGTACTGATTTCTGTACACACAAACACAATCAGACCTGTCCCTGGTACTGATTTCTGTACACACAAACACAATCAGACCTGTCCCTGGTGCTGATTTCTGTACACACAATCATTCCTGTCCCTGGTGCTGATTTCTGTACACACAATCACAATCAGACCTGTCCCTGATACTGATTTCTGTACACACAATCAGACCTGTCCCTGGTGCTGATTTCTGTACACACAATCACAATCAGACCTGTCCCTGATACTGATTTCTGTGCACACAAACACAATCAGACCTGTCCCTGGTGCTGATTTCTGTACACACAATCATGCTTGTCCTTGGTGCTGATTTCTGTACACACAAACACAATCAGGCCTGTCCCTGGTGCTGATTTCTGTACACACAATCAGGCCTGTCCCTGGTGCTGATTTCTGTACACACAAACACAATCAGGCCTGTCCCTGGTGCTGATTTCTGTACACACAATCAGACCTGTCCCTGGTGCTGATTTCTGTACACACAATCACAATCAGACCTGTCCCTGATACTGATTTCTGTGCACACAAACACAATCAGACCTGTCCCTGGTGCTGATTTCTGTACACACAATCATGCTTGTCCTTGGTGCTGATTTCTGTACACACAAACACAATCAGGCCTGTCCCTGGTGCTGATTTCTGTACACACAAACACAATCAGGCCTGTCTCTGGTACTGATTTCTGTACACACAAACACACAATCAGGCCTGTCCCTGGTGTTGATTTCTGTACACACAAACACACAATCAGGCCTGTCCCTGGTGCTGATTTCTGTACAGACAAACACAATCAGGCCTGTCCCTGGTGCTGATTTCTGTACACACAAACACAATCAGACCTGTCCCTGGTGCTGATTTCTGTACACAAAACACAATCAGGCCTGTCCCTGGTGCTGA